TTACAAAGTAAGTTCAAGGCAAGCCTGAACAGTGACACCCTGTCTCTTAAAAAAAAAAAAAAAAAGAAAAGAAAGAAAAAATCGATTTATCTGAAAGACTTGCTCTTCTACTTTCTTTTTTATCGGTACCAGAGATTAAACTCACAACCACCTGCTTGCAAGGCAGGTGCTCATGCCGCTGAGCTAAAGCCCCAGCCCCTCTCCTACTTTCTTTAGGCTTCTTGTCAAATATCAGCAGACCTTAGCAAGAGGTTACTCAACATGAACAGCAGCCCGTTTTACACCAGCCGGTCCCCTCATCCTGTTTCCCACTAAAAGGGAAGCCCTGTAAGACCAATGTCCTGCCTTGCTCCCTGTTAATGTCCTTAGCACTTAGAAGTGGCACGAACTGAGGGTAGTGTGTATGTTTGTGTTCCACTACTTGGGAAGGACAGGCAGGAGGATCACTTGACCCCAGGAGTTCAAGAACAGACTGAGGAAGACAGAGACATCAGTTTAAAATTAAATAAATAAAGAGATGTTTGACACATAATAGGTACCTAATAAATTGAATAAGTAATTGCTTTTTGAAGCCAAGGACATAGCTCAATAGCACAGAGCTTGCCTGGCAAGCACAAGGTCATGAATTCGATTCCCAGTATCAATAAATAAATAATTGCTTTTCATCTTTTTTTTGTTGTTCAGACAAAGTCTATGTAGTTCTGGCTTTCAACTTTGTATGTAGCCAGGTTAGCCTTGAATTCATGGGGACCTTACTGCCTCAGCCTCCTGAGCACTAGGATTATAGATGTGCACCACCACGCCTGGTTTCATTTCATTTTCCTCACCAAAATACTATGAAATAAAAGTGAGCAGACTAAAAAGTTAGAAATTGGAGAGATTATGTAATTTATCCAAAGTCACACGCTAAAAGTAGTAGAGATGGAATTTATATCTAGGACTCAGCCTTTGACTCTATGTAACAGGATTTGGGCTCAGGAAAAAAATGTGGTAAGCACACAGGCAATTCATATTGAGCAAATGAATGAATCTAGATTTCAGTTCCAATTCTTTTTTTTTGTCTTTTTCATTTTTATCAGTACCAGGGATCGAACTCACGACTGCCTGCTTGCAAGGCAGGCGCTTATGCCACTGAGCTAAATCCCCAGCCCCTCAGTTCCAATTCTTTAGTTTATTGGCTCAGTCTTCTTTTGTGTGGGGGGGGATCCTGGGACTGATGCTAGAGCCTTTACAGAGCTGCACCTCTATATCCTCAATCCCCTCCCTTTTTTTATTTTTTTGAGACTATCTAAATTGCAATCCTGCCTCAACCACTCATTGTTTTAGGATTATATGTGTAGGCTACCATGTCTGGTTTCAGCTTTTAATAAACTTCATTTTGTTTTTTAAATACAGGGTCTCACTGTGCAGTTCAGGCTGGCCTTAAATTATATAGCCGGGAGTGGACTTGAACTCACAGCAGTCCTGCTGCCTCAGGAGTCCTGGGATTACAGGTGTGCACCACCATGCCTGGCACAAACCTGTATGATTAAGTTACTGAAGGAATATTTTAGGGATCTCTAGAGTCCATCAAAAATGTATACACATTTCAGAAAAAGAAAAGTAGCACCGTGTTTTTTCAACAGATTGGTGTGATCTTGTGTAAGGGACCCTAGAAAATGTACATTGTAGAAAACCCACTACACTTCAACCTTTAGAGAAGAAACTGCAATGATCAAGTTTACCAGAGCAGTAGTTTGCCATACTAATAAATGTCTGGAAGCTAACAGGCACCACTTTGGGAACCTCTTGTAATTGTACAGGTAGGTCAAAGGTAACTTTATTAATCTCATGATGTATCAATATATTTAGTATTAAAATATTTATAATGTTTTTCTATTACTGAAGCATGTACTTTTTTTTAGTGGACTGTGCAGTTAAATGATAGGGTACTATTTAGGATGAGTGAGGCTTTGAATTTGATTCCCCACTCTACCTAAATAGACCAATAGCCACAATGAAAGAAAAACCAGGCATGGTGGTGCACACTGGTAATCCTGGCACTTATGAAGGCTGAGGCAGGACTGCTTCGAGTTCCAGGTCAGTCTGGACTACATAGTGAGTTCAAGGCCAATCAAAAAAATCAGTAAACAGAGTTGGACACAGTGAGGCATGTCAGAGAGAGGGGGAGAGAGAACACAAGTAAGCACGTGGAAGAGAGTGAGCGCTGAGGATGTAGCACCATGGAAAGGTCATGAGTTAAATATGCCAAAAAAGCTAAATGTGCAAACCACAGGAACATACTAACTTACACAACAGACACTAAATACAATCTTCCCCACACATGATGAGAGGTAGGGAAGAATTACGGTTAGGGGAAAAGGATAGTCCAGACCCTCCATGTCACCTCCCATGAACCCAGGCTACCAACAGATAACCTCACAGGTAGACACTGACCAACACCTGGTAGTGTCCTCACCTGGCTTGAATACTCTTCATCCATAAAGTGTGCACACACAGAAGTGTTAGGGAGGAGCTGTGATTACCATACACTTTTTCCCTGTAGTCTTTATTTTAAAATAATCTATATATCAGACAGGTCTCACTTTGTAATACAGGCTGCTTTTGAACTCAAGTAGCTCAGGCTGGTCTTAGACTTGCAGCAATCTCCTAGCTTCAGCCTCTAAAGTGTTGGGGTTACAGGTGTGTGTCACCATGCCTAGCTAGAACCTAAGTACTATAGAAGGGTGTTCTACATTTTTTCTTTTGCTGCTGGGGATGGAACCCAGGGCCTCATGATGCTAAGCAAGCACTCCCAACACTACAGTTACAAGGGGCCAGGAGTCTACATTACTGTACCTTTTGACACTGCAAAATCAAAAAGTTGTTTTTGCAGTACTGAGGGTGAACCTAGGCTTTTGTCCCAAGTTACACTCCCAGACTTTATCTTTGAGGCAGGTCTCTGCCACTCAAGTACTCAGACCGCCCTCCAAATTGTAGTCCTCTTGCTTCATCCTCCCACAGGGCTGGGATTACAAGCATTAGCCCACCCCGAGTGGTTCTACAGTATTTTGGGACTATTAAAATAGGGGGAAAAATGCTCTGGAGATGTAGCTGTAGCTGTGTGAAGGCCCAGAGTTTAATCCCAAGTACTGAAAAATATTTTTCTGGTACTGGGAATCAAACTCACAATCTCACACTTGCCAGGCTGGCATAGTACTGCTGAGCTATATCCCTGACCCTGAAAAGTTGTTTCTTATAAGGTGTGTGAACAAACACAATGAACACTGCTGCAGAGTACTCTCCAACACACCCATGTAAACACTAGTGTTACTTCTTGGTTTATCAAAATGACCATAAAAGGTGATTTTCAATCTGATACATCAAAGCAGACACAATAGTAGTACAAGTAGACACAAGCCTTCTAAAACTTTCAGAAAGTGGCAAGGATTGGGATATTTGAAAAAAAGAGGAAATAATTCCTACTTTTTTCTGACCACACTCTACACAACCTGAGTTTTTCTACAGGGTTTTACCCTGGCCTCAAAACCAGTTTTTGAGCCAAGTGTGGTGGTGCACACTTGTAATCCCAGCACTCAGTAGTCTGAGGCAGGATTGTTGACAAGTTTGAGACCAGCCTGGGCTACAAAGGTGAGCTCAGAGCCACCCTGGACTGCATATTGAAAACCTGTCCCCAAAAAACTAAACACCTATAATTACAGATGTGCAACACCAATTTTTAGATGTTAGGGTTTTTCGTGAGAGTAGGATCCCCTAGACACAATCCTAAACCCTGATCCCTGCTTTATTTTGAAAATCATGAGCAGGGATTTAGCTCAGTAGCCCAACAACCTGCCCAGCAAGCACAAGGTCATGGTACAAAAAAAAAAAATAGGTAAGCTGAAATCTGGACCATCAGGTTTAGCATTTACTTTGGACTCCCTCCCATTTCCTGGGGAATGGGTAACTATAGTGTACAGAACCCTGTAACCCATCCACCTCAAAGATGCCAAGATTTTTTTTGCTTTAGCTGTCTGAGGACAAACACTGGTATACTGAGCCCCAAAAGCAAGGTCAACTCCAGAAGAGATCAGGCATGCTCAGGATAATATGCCCCCTAGACAATTAGGGGGATTAATCCCAGATCCTTCACATTGAATACACTGTAGCACTTGTGAGACAGGAATTCACCCAAATTATAAGAGGGGGGGCACATTAGATATTTCTAGCCTCTGGCCCAGAGTGCTGGATTATAGACCTCTGCTAGTATGGTGTTTTAATAGCTCTATAGCAAAGCTGCAGTTTTTGAGCAGAACCTCTTTTACAATGTTGTACCTGGCAACCTTGCCTCAGCCTCCTGAGCATAGGTGTGCTTCACCGCCACTGCCCAGTGCTCTTCAGCACAAGGTACATAAACTTATCTCCAAGCTACTGGGGAAAACAATGACCTAACTGGCTAAGTGAATCCTCAATCTACCCAAGAATGAATTACTGAAGCAAACAAAAATGGATACTGTCATTCCTGAATTCTAGGACAAACCAGTCAAACAGATAAAATGAGGTACACCCTTTTTAAACCCCATCCTGTTAGCTCCTTTCTTCCAGCGGGCCAACTTAAACTTGGATAGGTTGAATGAAGGCAAACAGATATCTAAATCCCTTTTTCACACTTCTATGCAAATTAGGGAGGCCAAAGATTTGAATTCAGATGAGCTTAATTTAAAAGGACAAATTTTCTTTCAGTATGTAGTACAGGCTGGCTGTGGAACTCATGACAATCCTCTTGCCTCAGCCTTCAGAGTGCTTAAAAGGACAAACTTTCTCTCGTGAAAACGAAGAATCACAGATGTGAATACTGTGTATAAAACATACACAAAACGGGGCTGGGGATTTAGCTCAGCGGCATAAGTACCTGCCTTGCAAGTAGGCAGTTGTGAGTTCAATCCCTTGTACCGATAAAAAGGAAAAAAAAAAAAAAAACACAAAACCCACACTAGCATGTACATTCAACATGCTGTGTATATAGTATAACATCCACTTTATTTCTTTCCCAAGACAGTTTTCTTCAATTCATTAAGACCCAGTTCCTTACATGGGCTTTGGTGGAGGTCGTGGGGCGGCACCCTGAAAAGACAAAGAAATGAATAAATTAAAATCACAGGACCATTTGGGTATGTGATGCACACCCATAATCCCAGTACTGGGGAGTTTGAGGCCAGCCTGGATTACAAAGTGAGCTGAAGGCCAGCCTGAACTGCATAGTGACATCTTGTCTCGAAGACAAAACAAAGAAACCATCCCACAGATCCTCCCTACTTGGGATTTTGAGGGACACTGTGTGTGTGTGTCACAAGTTTTAAGAACAGCCTAGGAAACTTAGCAGGACTCTGATTCCAAACGGACTGGAAAACTAGTTTGGTATAACTCCTTGAGTTCAATCCTCCAGCACCAGGCTAACACACACTACCCATGGATCTTAACACAGATATGAAAGACATGCATGCGGGGCTGGGGATTTAGCTCAGCGGCATAAGCACCTGCCTTGCAAGCAGGCAGGTCGTGAGTTCGATCCCCGGTACCGATAAAAATGACAAAAAAAAAAAAAAAAAAAAAAAGACAGACAGACATGCATGCACACACAAGTTAAGCTACATAGGAGGCTGAGGCAGATGATCACTTGAGCCTAGGTGTTCAAGGTTGGCCTAGGCATCATAGTATACTATTGTTAACAAACTAGTCACCACCTCATCCTCTGAAAGAACTTGGATACCATCCTGTCTAACATTTAAACATAAAAATGCAAGGAAAGCTGGGCATAGTGATGCAGATCTATAATCTAAGTACTTGGGAAACTGAGACAAGAGAATCATATGAGGCCAGCTTGCAAAGTTCAAGGCAAATCCTGCCTCACAAACCAACCAAGCCAAGGAGTACTGAGCTACATCCCTGACCTTTCTGAGATAGAATTAAAAAAAAAAAAAAAAAAAAAAATTACCCAGGTTGGCCTCAAAATTGACTCTCCTGCTTCAGCCTCTTAAGTAGCTGGGGTTATGAGCATGAAACACCTGGTATGACTTCTAATAAGCCTTTAGTGCCTCTAAGCAAGTGTTTAGGTGTGTCTCATTTGCCTTCCTAAACCAAAACCTTAAAATTAAGGATTTCTCTAGCCCTTGTTATCTTTTTACTACTGCTATCCCTCTTTGCTTCCATATCCTTTTACAATACAGAAATAGGTGTGGTGGTATATGCTTGTAATCCTAGTACTTGGAAACTTGTAGCAGAATAGCAATGATTTTGTTTAAAGGCTAGCCTGGGCTATGTAGCAACAGTCTCAAAAACCAACCAAATAAATAATGAAATACTCACTGCAGGCCTAAATCGGGGTGGAGGTGTTCGGTCCTTCCGGGCTTCCCGAGATCGATTTCTGACCACTTTGCTGTGAATGGCACAACTCACACAGTAATGCAGCTTCACATATAGCTTGGGAAGGACATAACCTGACAAATAAATACAGTTATTTTTAAAGTTATTTTTATACCACCCTTTTTATACACCAACCATGTATTACCTTTTTTTTTTTTTTTTTTTGGTACCAGGGATTGAACTTATTACCCGGTGCTTCCCAGGCAGGCAATTGTGCTGCTGGGTTAAATTCCCAGCTCATTATATTCTTGCTATCAACTGAAAACTAAGACTACTTGTGTACAGACACATCCACACCTAAAGCAACTGATGCAGTTTCGGTCACCTAAGCAAATATATGTAACTGTCACACACTCCCCATAATCTCACAGGAACCAAATTCACACCCTAAAAGTAATAAATCAAGATTAGCTCAGCGGCATAAGCGCCTGTCGTTCAGTTTGATCCCCGGTACCAATAAAAAGGAAAAAGACAAAAAAAAGAAGAGTCTAGTTCCTTTCAACAGCTTTATTAGTTCTAATAATACACTCGTGGGCCTCCTGCCTCTTAAGTAGTTTTTCAGAAAAATCATGTGTCATTATCATCCTTGTCTACCATGAGACTGCCTCGGCTCTTCAAACAGTGGAGTCTTACTCATTTGTGCATTTTCACGCTTATCAATCTTCCTAATTAAAAAACTGTTACATTAACCGGGTAGCTACCTCTCAATGTTTGTAAAATTCTATCCCCTTGTTATTTAGCCTCAAAGATACGACTAAAACTTGCATACTATTAGTCACAAAAATTCACTCTGCTCACAGTTCAAAACGAAAAAGTATCATTTCTTTTCTCAACAACCACTTTACAGACACTCTAAAGGCAAGTTAGAGCCCATACAAGGATGACGCAGGGAAGGGGGGCTCTGCACATTTCGTGCCAGTGGCACTTACCATCGAAGACACTCGCTTCGGAAATGTCCCTGACGGCGGCGGCCTCTACAATGTTTCGAATAACGAACTTCTTAATGGCCTTATCCTTGGGTACGCACCGGGCGCAGTTTGTGCAGCGAATAGGCTGCACATGACCGCGGCCCTTTTTAGCACGACCGTTGTTCCTTCTTTTTTTCGTCTGTGTCAAGATAAAACACCCTATTAGATGGGCAACTTAACTTCAGCCCATCCCCGGCTGTATTCCCCACCGGCAGCACCCCTCAAAACGCGCCAGTTTCCTGGGTTACAGATACACCTCGTCCGCTCATCAACCGCAACCGAGTTCTAAATCCTCACAATCCCAACAAGGGTTCTTTTCAGCCTTCACCAGGATCCCCACGATCACCACGCGCCAGAACTCACCATCTTGGAAAGGAAGGCCCAAAAGAGGATCCGGCGCTTTGCCGGGCCCTCTTATATAGCACGAGATTCCTACGCCCGCACAGGAAAAGCACTTAGAAGACGGAAATCAATAACGAAAAGTCAATTTCCTCAAATTTCCATGATTAAATAAAGTTTCCACTGAATTTTAGGGTGTAAAGAGGTTTCTAAAATTTAAATGTGACGCAAAGTATCTGTGGGACTATTTATTCTACTGGCGGAAGAAAACTAATCATAATTACAGGAAACCGTCCAGCACCGTGTCCCGGAAGTAATTGTGGGCGTTATAACTTCCTCTTTACGTGTGAGGCCCAGAGGAGCGGTGCATGATGGGAATAGTAGTACAGAATTTAGAGGCCCCAGGCGCTTTGTCTTTTATAGTAATTCTCGTTCTAGGAAACCTGTCCTTGCTGTTTTTCTGACAATCCTGTTTGTTTTGTTTTGGTACCGGGAATCGAACTCAGGACCTTGCTCCTGTTCATAGATTTAAGATTACAAAGTAGAAGACTTGAGAGAAAACAAAATATTTTGTGAATTCCTCCTTCCAGTATGGATAAAAGCCCATAAAGAGAGGTACTGGAGAGGTTGGGGATTTAGCTCAGCGGCCTAAGTGCCTGCCTTGCAAGCAGGCAGTTGTGAGTTTGATCCCCAGTACCGATAAAAAGGAAAAAGACAAAAAATATATATATATATATTAACTTGCTTAAATTTTAACAGTAGCGCTCAAGAAGCTGAGACAGGAAGATAGCCATGAGTTCAATGCCAGCCTGGGTTACACAGCAAGACTCTGTCTCAAAAAAAAAAAAAAAAAAAAGGCAAACAAAACACTTTACCAAGCCTATAAAGAATGTACATGTCTGTAATCCCAGCACTCAGGAGGCTGAGGCAGGAGGATCAACTGGAGTTCAAGGTTAACCTAGGCTACACAGTGAGTTTAAGGTCACCCTGGTGATCCTGTCTTAAAAAACAAACAAGGAATAATAATAAAGGTTATTTATGTAGTTCATTGGTAGTGAGGGTTTGCTTAATATTTACTAGGCCCTTAATTCAATCCCCAGTATCAAATAAATAAGAAAAAAAAAAAACATATGGGATAGGGCCAGGGATTTAGTTCAGTGGTTTAAGTATCTACCTGGCAAGTGTGAGGTCACGAGTTTGATCCCCCATACCAAAGAAAGAAAAAGGAGTGTAAAAATCAACTCACATCATTCGGGGCTGGGTGTTTAGCTCAGCGGTATAAGTGCCTGACTGGTAAGCACAAGGTCATGAGTTCAATTCCTGGTGCCAAAAAGAAATTCCTGAAAAGGGAAGAAAAAACAGTGGGGATGTAGCTCAATGGTAGAGCACTTGCCTGGTATGAATCAAGCCCAGGGTTGAATCCTCAGTACCAGAACAGAAAAAAAATTGAAAAACTGAAGGGTGGAGTTGATAAATTACTTATTCAAAGTGATTCTAAGCTAGTAAAAGGTGCTTTCTTGTTGTTGTTGTTGTTGTTTTGTTTTGTTTTTTTGGTACTGCAAGTAGAACTCAGCCCCTTGTGCTTACCAGGCAGGTGCTGGGCTGTTGAGTTTATATGTGGCCTCAAGAGGTGTTCTTATACTTTACTCTGCTGATTCTCAACTTGCCAGCAAATGGATGTAATTATAGCTTGGGCCAGTGACTTTAAATAATTTTTGATCTAGACACATAGAAATACACTTTACATTGGTACTGAATACATTAACACAAATATGCATATATACAAAGTAAAACACAAGATTCATGAAATAATGCCTTTATGACATAAAGTGCACTGGTATGTTCTATTTCTTTTTTCCCCTTTTTTTTGGTCTTTTTGAGACAGGGTTTCACTATGTAGTTCAGGTTGGTCTTGAACTCATTTTGTACCCAGGCTGACCTTGAACTCGCAGCAGTCCTCCTGCCTTAGCCTCCTGAGTGCTGGGATTATAGGCATGTGCTACCATGCCCATTTTATTTAATTTTTGAGGTACTAGGAATTGAACTCAGACTGAGCTACATCCCCAGTCTTCCCCCCTCCCCTCCCCAGGAAAGGTCTCAGTTGCCCACGTTGCATCCAATCTTTAAGCACTTGTGCTTCAGCCTCCCAGAGTGCTGAGATTCTAGTCCTATACCACTACCCTTGGATGTTTGGATTTTTATAAATTAGGAATTTCACTGTTTTGTCTTGGCATAAAGGTATGGGCAGGCTTTGGAACCATATACTCCTAGTTTCAAATTCTGTCTCCATTGCTTACTGACAGGTTTTGGACAAGTTATTTTATCCCTTGGGGTTTGCTTTACCAACAGTTATTGTTACCATTCTTTTCCAAGTGTTTCTCCAATTACAGGAAGACTTGGTACAGTACTTGGCATCTCTGAGATGCTCAAATGGTAGATTCTGTCATCATCATTCCTATTATTGTAACTTGTATCTCCCTGGACAATGTGTTTTGAACATGGTAGGTACTCAACAAAAGTTTGATGACTAGGCCTTCTCTTAGTACCACCAAAAAAAATTTGGTAACAGTTCTGCTTTGGATCGCAAGTCAGCTTTCTCCCCATTCTACAGATACTCCTGCTAGGAAAGTCTCTATTTCCCACTCTAGGCTGAAAGTTCTGTTCTTTTGCACCAACAATCTGAGCATACATGTTGGGTTTCCTCTCCTCCTATACTTGTTTATCTCCTAAACTGATCAGTCAGTACAACCTGCTGCCAGGAAGCCCTTCTTCCCCGCCCAGTAGAAAAGTTAGGCAAAGGAAGTCTGCAAAAACAACCAGGGGTGTTAAATTACTCATGTTTATTTATAACAGACCTTCAGCCAGTACAGTACAAAACTTACAGTAGTATATCTCCATTACACAAATATTTACTTACAATATATTACATATACAAAATGCTTCATAATAAGTCTTAAAAGCTCGTTTAACTCCCCTTAAGAGAGGAGAAAAACTCTTTTAAAAAAACGGGGAGGGGGAAAGAGAGAAAGAGGGGTAAAGAGGGGGCCAGAGCCAAAGGAAACACCCGATAGGCTACAAAGGAAACCCGAGAGGAAGAAGAGGTGGTATTGCACTTGCTTCTGTGTTGTATTTTTTTTTTCTTTTTGTTCTTCATAACTTCTGATTAAAAATATATCTATATATATTATGTACACAAGGAAAGAAGCTGCCAGAAGTATTACAAAATCCCACCTGCAGCTTGGACACTGACACACAAAAAAACAAAAAGCCTGGAAAAGTGTTTTTTTATAAATTCCTTTTTTAAAATTTTTTGTGATGTTGATTTTGAATAGTAATATAAAAGGAAACACCTCTTTTCTCCATGTGGGTTTCAGTGTTTGTGTGGTTTTTTTTTTTTTTTTTTTCTTTTTTCTTTTTATGCAAAAGGAACTGGGAGAGAGCTTAAGGTTGTTTGAGGTTCCAGAGCTGGAAGGCTCTGAGAAGTAGGATTTTGTACCTAAGACCCTGGTTAAAGTGCAATGGTGGTCTGGACAGAGGCAGGGTGCCCCTCTCTCCCCTCCCTAGCACCTGGTCTTGCCCTTCCAGTCTCTGCTCTCATGGCACGGAGTCGCCTTGGGCACAGTCCTTCATGTTCTGGGAGGCTGCAGGTGCCAAGGCCGACTAGAGGAGGGGATGGGGCACCCTAAGGCTCTGATACCCCACAAGGGGGACTAGTCCTCATGAGGTATCATCAAATACACAGCAGACACAGAAGTGGGAGGGGAAGGTCTTGGGGAAGGGGCTCAGTAACCAGAACAGTTCAGGAGAAGCCAGATATTAATCTCAGCTCTGCTGCCATCTGGAACAGGAGTACCTGATGGTGCCACTGAGAAAGCCCTTCCCTTCTGGAGAGACCACTCTCCTCTGAGTCGACTCCCCCATCCTCCGCCCTTGGCAGCACCTATTTATTGCTACATTGTCAAGGGGGAACAATTACCCTAGCAGACCTCTCCTTGCCTACCTGGTTCTTTTGGGGAAACCATGTAATGGGGAAGGAAAAAGTGGAAGAGGAGAAAGTGATGTCCCTTCCCATGATGGGGTAAGGTAGACTCTTCAGAACCCTAAAGAGCCCCAAACCCAGGGTCTGATCCTTAGCCCACTCTTTACCATTGCCCCTCAAATATCCCTGATAGGGAGTAAGAAAAGTAGGAGAGGCCAAAGAGCCGAAGAGGAAAGGACGTGGAGAGAGATGGAAGTGAAAGGAAGAGAAAAAGGGAGAAAAGGACCAAGAGTTATAACTTGTGAGGTGTTATGTTGGGTTTTTACTTTTTTTTTTTTTTTTCTTTAAACATAGAAAAACAGCCTTTGGTTTGAATCTCAAGGAAGCAGAGTGGGATGGCTGTGGCTGCGGCCATGGAACTCTGTAGAAAGAGACCTCCATTTGCGGTGGAGCTGTGCCTCCTCCCCCTTCCTGAGTCCCGGATTTTTCCAAATAGAATCTGCAGTAAGCAGAGTCAGGCTCTGCAGCAGCAGGCAAAGTACAGCCCTCCTGCCCTGGGTCTGGAGCTGAGTGTGAGAGGGGCAGTGAAGGATTCATTCGCCTGCGCAGAGGACTGCAGGAGGGATGAGTAAGGAGCACATAGCTTTGCTCATCCTGGGATTATTTTTGGTTATACTGAAAGAGAGAAAAGACACATGCTTTTTTCTTGCCACTGATGGTAAGAAAAAGGCCCATAGTCCTGGAATGAGAGGGTGACTCTCGCTGGGGGAGGAAGAAGGCAGCATGAGTAAGGGGCTGAGAGATCCTCTGCTCAGGCAGGAACCCAGTTTGTCACAGGACAGGGACTGGAGGAGTCCCAGAGAGCCCAGGAAGGTCACAAAAGTGAAGAAGTTTGGGAAGTGGAGGAGAGATTTTAGTCACCCCTTCCCAGGCCCTGACTCCCAGTTAGGCACCTGAGGCTCTGTCTGTCAAAGACAGAGGGTTGCAGATGTAGCCTTGGCCCCTGAGAACATAAAATGGGGCACTCCAAGGAGAGGGAAGCTGCCACCAAGTCAAGTGGCCAGCTGAAGAGGCTAGAGTGGTGATGAGGGGTGGGTGGGGGGAAGGAAGAACTGTATCACATCCTGCAGGGAGATCCTAAAGGTAGCTTTGCGGAGCTCAAGAAGACCCTCAGTCCCACAGTGCCTAGGGAGAATTTCTTCAGCTCCTCCTATTTCCAATGAGGAGATTCTTCATTTGAGAATAGTGCAAGCTGCCTAAAGTGAGAGGGCACGAGAGGTATGGATAGTACCAGGCTGAAGGGTCCCAGAGAGGAGATATAATGCCACAGAGCCCAGGTGGGGCTACTGGGAGGTATCAGCATCAAAACTGAAGAATCAGATAAAGTAAATGGCAAGGATTAAAGCAAGAAGCACAAAGTCTCTTCCTTTGGAGAGAAGCTTCTGAGCCCTGGGGCTGTTAGAGGATACTGGATAAACAAGAAAAAAATTAGAACTAGCATAAAAGGAAGCTGAGGGCCAGGGTATAAGGGAACTGGCAAGGGATGGCTGTAAGTAAAAAAAGGCAAAAGAAAAAGCAACTAATAACTCAGGGTGCTGGGGTGAGAGAAAAAGAGAACAAGGAGGGACAAAAGGGCTGTTTCATCACGATACTTAAGTTGGTCAGGGAAGAAGAGAAGGGTGAGGAGGTTCAGGGTCACATGTGAGGTCAGACGTGCCACGGGAGGGCTATGGGGAAAAATTCCTTGGCGTGTGGTGGGGACAGAACTAGACACCTGGAGGGGGCAGTGAGTAGAGTGGCAGACTAAGGGCAGAGGGAGAGGTCGCTAGCCCACCTTATGTTCCCCCCGGACAATGTGGGAAGAGAATTCATACCGGTCTTGGCTGTGGTAACCACAGATGTTGCACTCGAAAGGGTCTCTGAAGCCATGGCAGCCCATGTGGATGGTGAACATGACATGGTCCAGGAAGAGGATTCGGCAGTGTTCACATTTGAAGGCTTTCACAGGCTCACCACTCTCGCCCACCACTCGAAGCACTTCCTTGGAGGGTCCTGGGGTACCCCGCAGTAAGCCCTCCTGTGGTTTGGGGTCCTCTTTGGCATAGGCAGGACTGTGCCGGCCCACCACTATGGTGGGGGCTGGCTGGGGTGGGGGACCCTGAGGGAGGGACACTACCCCCCCAACCCGATCTTCGTGGTTGCTCTCTGTGTCTGTGGAGTCCTGGCAGCCATTGCTGGGGGAGGCCCCTGGGTCAGTCAGGGAGCCTCGGGTACGGTAGAGGAGGGGCCCTCCATCCCCCAGGTCCTCAGGTCCTTCACCTGCTTCTCGGGACCCTGGAAGCTCTAGTCGGCCAGGGAGGGGCTGCATCTGGGTATAGACAGAACTGATGACAGGTGTGAGTTCTGAGATGCAGTTGGTAGGTGGAAGGCGGAGGGGACGCAGATGCTCTGCACCCACAAAGGCCAGAGAACCTCCAAAGCCAGGCTCCAGGCCGTGGTGTGCCACCAACTCCACATCTTTTTCATAGCCGCCCGAGTTCACATCATAGGGGAGGTCTGACAGGCTGAAGCGCATCTGCTTTTCACCTGTGGAAAAGGCGGTCTCAGCAGGACTGGGTATGAACAATTCTAAATTCTCCTAAATTTTATTGGATATATCATTATTATTATTTTCTTTTGAGACAGAGTCTTATTAAATTGCTAGGCTGGATTCAAACTGGCTAGCCTCCTTCCTTAGCCTCCCAAGTGACTGAAATTAGGGATATGTGCCAATGTGCCTAATATTATTATTGTTATTATTTAAGGCATTTGCTATGTAGTTTAGGCCAGCCTCAAACTCATAACAGTCTTCCTGCCTCAGCCTCACAAATACCAGGATTATAAGTATGTGACACCGGGCTAGGGATTTAGCTCAGTGGCATAAGTACCTGCCTTGCAAGCAGGTAGTCATGAGTTCGATCCCCAGTGCCAATAAAAAGAAAAAAAAAAAAAAAAGTATGTGACACCATGCCTGATTCTGCATTATTATTATTATTAATGGGGATGAAACCCAGGGCCTCACATATGCTAAGCATATGTTCTACTGCCGAGATACACCCCTGCCTTTCCTAAAAAAAAAATTAGGGGGGTTACCTGGAATCAAACTCGTGACCTCACACTTGCCAGGGAGGTACTTATGCCGCTGAGCTAAATCCCCAGCCCATTTCCTAACATTTCTTACTCTACTTCATTTGTTTTCCTTGAGGTCAAGTCCTCTATGTGTCTATTCTCTAACTCTATGCTGAAACCCTGGAGGACTCAGTCTCAGCCCACTCATTCCTTGAATGCCTCCATCAGGCTCCATGAAGCTCTAGTCCTTAGCTAATGCCAGCCCCAGATCGGGAACCACATTTACTGCTCCCTGGCTCTAAGGATCCACACAGATTGAAGTCCTTGCTATTCTTAAAAATGGGGAGAGTCTGAGCTCTGAACACCTCCTCTTACAACTAAAGGTCCCAACAATGAGCTTCTCCACTCACTTTTTTCCTGTTTTTGGAGGAGATTCTAAGCACCAGAAATATCCAAGCTGCTTTCTCTCCCTAATCAAACCTCTAGACCAACATCTCTGGCCTTAGCAACCAAAGCTCAAATTTATTTAGGCTGTAGTTTAAAGCTGATTTCATTCTTACCTATGAACTTCTGGGGTGTGGAGCGCTTGCGTTTGGTGAGGCTGTTCGCCAGGCGATCAATGAAAGTTGGCCGGTCAGATGCTGAGTGCAGCATGGAGTCTGGCACCATCTCCAGGTCACGCATCTCATCACCTGATGGGAGGGAGGTGAGGACAGGTAGAAGTAGCTGAGAAGGAACAGCACTGGCCCAGCAGCCTTCATCTGGAGAAGTCTAGCAGGTTAGTAGCCAAGGAAGTGTTCACCTAATGCCTGGGAAACTGGGCTCTGTTTACCCTAGCCAAAGCATATCCCAACAAAGTATCAGACCACTAAGGGATGATTATATATTTAACCCTTGCATTTCTATTACTTGTATTCTCTCACATTAGTCGAGGATACAGACTCAAATGTTTTCTACCTCTGGATTTCATTATAGCACCTACCATAGGGCTCTGCCCTACACCAGTTGGGATACTTAGGATGGGCTGATTTGTAGATTTATCAGCGTAACTATGCCCTGTTCCACATACCTTGCCCACACTTCCTTTGGGTCCCTCCCCTCAAGGCACCCACAGTACTACCCATGGCCCCACCTGGCTGGCCAGTTAACGCTTGGGCTTCAGTGCTGAGACTTTGTAGGTAGTTGTGGCATCGCTCCTTGTGCTCCTCCAGGGTACTCTGCTGTTTGTAACTACGGCCACAGTAGTTGCACTTGTAGGGCTTGCCCACTGTGGGAGAGGACACTGTGGAGGAGAGTTAACATCAGAGTTACTTTGCCCTGTGCCCCAGCTCTGCAGAATCATCCAGGAGCAAATGAACACTAGCATGGGGAGGAAAGGATATTGCTAAGTTGAATTCTGCTTTTCTTCCTTTCTGAACTTTACCTCCAACAACGGATAGATGAACTGAACTTGGGAAAAGAGGGACAATGTGTAGCTATGGAGTAAGGAAGTTCCAGGACACACAGCTGTGTGCAGGTAGTAGGGTCCTAGATGACCAACTTGCTGCTCACAGGGAGTGCGGATGCAGGGAGGACTTTGCAGGGGACCGTCCCTGGCAGACAGGCAGGCAGGCCCCACCCAAGGACCTCATAGCCCAGGGCTCAGACTGTGGTTTAACCTTTCCCTGTGGCAGGCGGGTTTAAATGCTGTTTATCAGACAAGGGGATTTTTTTTCTTTTTTACTACTGAATTTATTTGCTTTGGTTTGGAGGAAATTGATGAGTAGGGGTGATAGAAATAAGGGCCCTTAGATCTGCCCATGTGGGGAGGGGTAGTTTTCATTGACCTTTACTTGTGTTTTTCTCTCCAATACTTGCCTAGTTTTATTATTTTTGCTGTCTCTACACTGAAATAGCAAGAAAGTACCAGAAAAACTACCACTGACAAGAAATTTTGAAAAGAGAAAAAGAATAGAGAAGAAAATAAAGGAGATGACAAAAAGGAAGAGAACATCAAGTTTAGGGTTGCTGTTTATTTATTTATTTATTTATGTCTTTTTCGGTACCAGGGATTGAACTCATGACTGCCTGCTTGCAAGGCAGGTGCTTATGCCGCTGAGCTAAATCCCCAGCCCCTGCTGTTTATTTTTTTAAAATGGGTTGTATAGATCTTGTTTCTATTGAAGAAAAAAGCAGGCTGGCCTTGAACCCATGATCCTTTTGCCTCAGCTGGGATTATAGTTCTGTACCACCAAGCCTGGCTCTAAAAACAACTCTTGTGAAGTATTTGAGAGAAGAGAGGAAAAAGTGAAGAACAAGGTATTGTATATTTTGTTTCTTGGCACTATTGGGCAGGAGATAGAAGAAAGCATCTCTAGAGGCTGGTAATTGTTATTCACTCCCTCTTCTCATGCCAAAGGCTGAACCTTGACTGAATCAACCTATTGGCATTTTGCTCTCGCTCTGCAAACCCTAGTGTTTCGGGATGATGAACATAGGTTCTCTATCCACCCAAGACCCTTGGAGAAATGGTTTAACACCTGGAGGATGAATCATTCTCGAGCCTCCTTTTTCTTGCAGTGTGGGTCAACAGGAAGCAGGTCATAGAGATGGGCCCCAACAGTATACTGGTATCTGCTTTTGTATTTAATAATGTACAGGACAACACACAAAAATCTACCCACCTGAACTTGTTAGTAAGAATTATGGGGCTAAGCTCATTCCAAACCAGCAGGGGGAGCCACCCCTTTTCTGGGAAAAAGAAATTTCTAGCACTGGATTTTCATGGAGGCCCATAGTTGGGCTGGAGAATAGCAGTGTAGCCTACAACTTAATTTTTCCCCTACAGCTTCAGTTTCCTTCCCAACAACATGGGAATAATCCCATCTATCTTGGAATGGGTGTGAGGATCACATGAAGAGACACAAATGGAATGCTCTGTAGATAATAAAGCTTGAGTCAACAATGATTTTTCTCTCTGTCCCTCCATATACTTAGAAAGAGGTCCCATTTACAATGTGGGAAAACCTGAAATAAGATAAATGGATAAAGAAAGTAGACGGTGGTAAAGTGATTGCTCTGTCTCTTTAAGTTGTGGCCCAGAAGAATTTAGGAAAAGAAAAACAGCCAGGAAAATTTCTGAGAACAGACCCTACTCATTCTTTCCCTTCTTCCCCTCTTCCTGCCTTTTCTCAATCTTGAGCTCCCTCCTTCCTGCCAGCTCAGCTCTTGGCCTCTTCTCAAATCCAAGTCAAAAGCCCAACATTTAGGAAAGTGCCTGACAAGTGCTATTTGTCCAGCTAATTCCAACAGATACTGATTCATACAGTCTGACTGAACTAGAAAACCTTGCTAACCCAGTTCCCCAGCACTGGTCCAAACACTGGTCCCAAAGTACTCTCGATTTGCTCCTGCTCCCAGAAAAGTGACAGTCTCTTGAGATAGAGGACAGAAATGAGATACTCTTTACCTTTTTTTTCCATTTCAAAGGCTGATGAATATTTATAGGAACCAGTAAAAAAGTAGAGGAGAGGATAGCTAGTAGTTACCCAAGACCCCTGATATTATGAAGTGCAGGTGAAGATAGTGACAGGTATAGGACTGGGACAGATGAGTGTAAGGGTGGTCTTTCATGCGGTTCAGAAGTAAGGGACAATGGGGGACAAATGATGTTGTCATCATCACAGTCTTTAAAAAAGGGAAGTCAGCTGGGTGTGGTGGTGCAATCAGGAGGCTGAACTGTGAGTTTAAAACCAATTTGGGCTCCATATGAGTTCAGACTCACTCAGAACTACATAGTTAGATCTTGTCTCAAAAAACCAAAAAAACAGGGGGCTGGGGATTTAGCTCAGCGGCATAAGCACCTGCCTTGTAAGCAGGCAGTCGTGAGTTCGATCCCTGGTACCGATAAAAATGAAAAAGACCAAAAAATAAATAAATAAATAAAGACCAGAGATTTAGCTCAATGTCATAAGTGCCTGCCTGGCAAGCATGAGGTCATGAGTTCGATCCTAGTACCAAGAAAAAGAAAAAACACAAAAAAATCCGGGTGTGGTGGCCTACTCCTATAATCCTAGCATTTGGGAGGCTGAGGCAAGAGAATGGTTTGCAAATTCAAGACCAGCCTGGGTTACAGAGTGAACCCAAGGCCAGCCTGAACTGCATACTGAGACTCTGTCTCAAAAAAAAAAAAAGAACAATGCCCATGTATTTTTTGCTCCATATCAGAGTGTGGCAATAAATTACCCTTCAAAGAGTCCCCCAAGTCTGAGTGTAGCAGCACAATCCTAGCACTCTGAGAAACTGAGGCAAATTTGAGCTCAGCCTGGGCACTCAGTAAATTAGCAAGACCCTATCTCAAAATAAATAAAAATTAAAAATAAAGGGGCAGGGGATATAGCTCAGTATGAAGGGCCTGGGTTCAATCCTCAGCACTTAAATAAATAAGAGTGCCCCAGGCTCCTCTTAAGCCCCACCTGCCAGAGGAGGGTTACAGAGGCAGGTTCTCCTCTCTGGAGTGACAAACACTGTAACTCCTCAGCGCAGAACTTCTGAATTCTATTCACTGAGTGTCCCTGGGCCCACTGTCTCCTCTCCAGCTGGATGGTCACTGACCTGAGTGTGTGCGGAGGTGGCCAGTAAGTGCATCACGCCGGCGGCAGGCGTAGTTGCAGAAGGGACATTTGAAGGGCTTCTCCCCAGAGTGCAGCTTGATGTGACGCAGCAGGTTGCCTTTCTGGGTAAAGGAGGCCCCGCACTGGTTGCAGTGGAAGGGCCTCTCACCTGCAAGCGAAAGAGCAGATCCCAGAGGGCTGGGTATGAGGAACATTAAGATGGAATCTACCCTTCCCTTGAATACATGGCTGAGGACAGGAACCGGCTGCTTTATAAAGATCACTAGGGAGCAGTCCTACCCTAGGAGGATGTGGATAAGAGGTTTATAACAGGACAGGGGTTCTAGCCCCAGAACACTGGGTCAAAAGGCGGTTACTCAAAAAGAGTGTCACACACACACACACAAAAAAGAGTGTCACCAGGGTCCCCTCTGCCTTAAGAGTTCAAAGTCTGAGCAGGCTGAGGAAAGGAGGTCTCTGTGTCTATCTGTCTGTTTCTGATATTATGAGAGAACCAAACAATACCCAAGTATCCTACCCCTTAGATAACAGGATCCTTAGGGGCTGGGGACTTAGCTCAGCAGCATAAGCACCTGCCTTGCAAGCAGGGTACCAAGGGGAAAAAAAAAGAAATACGATCCTTCTCCCGTTGTTTTGTTTTTTTTTTTTTTTTTTTTTTTAGTACTAGGGATAAAAACCATTGGTGTTCTACCCCTAAGCTATGACTCCAATTCCTTGTATTTATTTTGAGACAAGATGTTGCTAAATCACCCAGACTTTGAACCTGTGATCCCCCTGCTTCAGTTTCCCTTAGGTATTCTATGGGATAATAGCATGAGCCACTGAGCCTGGTGTGTTTTGTTTTGTTTCATTTTTTGGTGCTGGTGATCAAGCCCAAGGCCTCTTTCATGCTGAACACACACACTACCGAAGTACACCTCAGCCCCAGAGATCCCTCTTGTTCTTCAACACATCCCTGTCTTTTTTTTCCTTTTTTCTTTTCAGTATTTGGAATTGAACCTAGCATTTCACACTCAGCTACATTCCCGCCCCTTCTGTATTTTTTATTTATTTATTTAAACCACTTCATTTGTCTTTTTTTTTTTTTTTTTCCTGTACTTTTTATTTTGAGGCAGCATCTTGCTAAATTACCTAGACTGCGGTTGAATTTGTGAAACTCCTACCTCAGAATCCTGGGATTATAGGTATACACTACCACACCCGACTCATATCTGTTTTTTTAATGGGTACCAGGGATCGAACTCACGACCGCCTGCTTGCAAGGCAGGTGCTTGTGCCTCTGAGCTAAATCCCCAGCCCCTCTTCTCACATCTTAAGAAAAATATTAGCTTTTTTTTGAAACAACAGAGCTAGGTGTTAGGGAAGGGAAGTACAGATGTCAAGGGGGAATCCAAATTCTATCTCAATACCCCTGTCAAGGGGGAATCCAGATTCTATCTCAACACCCCTCTCCCCCATTTTTTTTGAAACAGGGTCTTACCATAGGTAACCTAGGCTGGCTTGGGAACTCACGGTGATCCTCCTGCTTCAGCCTTCTAAGTGCTGGGATCATAGATATGTGCTACATGCCCAGCTCTGTTATCAGCAAGACAGTATGTGGGGAGACTCCTCCCTCTCTGAGGCCTCCGTGCTGCAGTGTGGCCTCCTCTAGTTCTCCTACTGCCACTGTCTCAGCACTGCCCTGCCTCTCACCAGCACCCTTAACTCCTCCTGGACCCCTCAGGCTTACTCACCTGTGTGGCTGCGTTTGTGTACCATGAGCACATTGGGGCCAATACAGACCATGCCACAGACGTCACACTTGAGCTTGCCATTGGGCAGCCGGATGCCACCAGGGGAGTGAGGCTCTGGCCCACTCCCATCACAGTAGCCCAGGGGCTCTGACAACGAGTCTTCCACAATCACACTGTCGTCTTTTTCCAGGAGCCGCTCATCTGGCCCCAGCAGTCTGCTCGACTCCTCATCGCTGTACATCTCCACCTTGATGGAGTTGGCTGGAGGGCAGGATGGTGTTTAGAACAGAGACAGGCAAAGTGGGAGCTGTCTGCAGGTCGGAACAATACTCCTGAAGGACAAAATGCCATCTCCAGGACCTGAGACAGAGAGGCCTTAAAAGAGGCTAACACTGTAGTATCCCCAGGGATGATGCCAGAGTCTTTCTGGAACCTGAAAAGCTCGCCCTTCCCTCCCACCCACTGGGAAAATAAGCTTCAAGAGAAAAAAAGTTGGGGTATGTGGGGTGTCTTCTGTCGCTGAGAAGAGGCAGTTCAAGGAGCCTTTTCTCCAATGTCTTGTCATTAAGATGTCTGCCTTGGCCCTGGGCAGGAAGCCAGCAAGTAAAAATGGTGGGAAAACAGCCCTCAAAACATTGAAGGGGACAACAAGCTAAAGAGAAATCAAAACTACAAGACAGTCATGGCTTCCATTCTTCCAAATCATAAGAATGAACCCCTCTATCCTGAAATGTACACATCTGAAGGTGGGTACAGGAAGGAGGAGCTATTAAGAAGGCTTTGGCTTTAAACTCTGACCCACATTCCTGGCTATTCCCACCACAGCTCTAAGGTCCTCTGGAAGAAGGAGGCTTCAGGGGGACCTGCCTGGGTGGGAGAATGGGGTGTGGGGATTCAGGGAGGTCCTTTTTCCTGTTTCCTCCACCTAATGATCATTTCTATCTAGCTGGTTCTCCAGTTCCAGAATTTCTTTCTTTTTTCTTTTGTCTTTTTTGAGACAGGGTCTCTATGCAGTTTGGGTAGGCTTTGAGCTCACTTTGTAGCTCAGACTGGTCTTGAGCTCACTTTGTAGCTCAGGCTGGTCTTGAAATCACAATAATCCTCCTGCCTCTGCCTCCTGAGTGCTGGGATTGCTGGCATGAGCCACCAGGCCTGGCTCTTTTTTCTTGTTGAGACATGGGCTCACTAGTTCAGGCTGACTTTGAACTCACTATGCAGCCCAACCTGGTCTTGAACTGGCTGTTATCCTCCTGCCTCAGCCTCCCCCAAGTGCTGGGATTACAGGTATACATCACTATGCCCAGCAGTGATTTCTTTGTGGAGCTTTTAGTTAAATGTTACCCATGCCTCATTTAGTTCTCACCTTAGTCTGGCAGTGACTATTCACTGTTTTTTCAGAAGCCATGAAAGCCCTAGACAGTGAACTTCTTTGTGCTTTTAGAGACTGAGCAGGAAACTGGAGGGAAGTGATGATGGGGAAATGGTTACAAATCAGAAGAGACTTTTCAAACAAAACAAAATGGGGGTGCCTAGTGTGGGGGTGGGGTGGGGGTACAGGTTGGCACTTACCACTGAGTGAGCGGCTAGGAGAAGAGTGCTGGCTGTTGGGGGTGCTCACTGAGGGCCCCACTGGGGCCCCGAGGAACTCCTTCTCCAGAGATGAGTCCCCGCTACCTTGGAGGAGAGAACAAGAGGACAGGTAAAGCTGGGGCTGGAGCCATCTACTGTCCATTGGCTAAGTTTTAAAAACTTCAGTTAAATTTCACAAACATTTATTCCATAGTCATGTCCGAGGCATTGCTGGGTGTTAGGCACCATACCTTGTGCCCTCACCAGTCCAGTGCCTGACTTCCGTGAGCTCAGCGGCTGGGCCTTGCCTACCCTACCTTTAAGTAGACTGATGGGAAAAGCATCACTGCTTGACATCCGCAGGAAGCGGAACTGGGGCTGGGCAGGCCAGGGTAGAGAGAATAGGTGCCTGAGGGAGGGATGGTTTGGGACAGACTTTCTTCTCTACTACTCTGCTTTGGAGCCTCCAGTACTAACTTTGGGATCTGTAAGAAGGGCAGCAGAAATTGTCTCTGAATCTAATTATAATATCAGAATAATCATGACAGCAGTTAATATTTAAAGGGTGCTTACTATGTGCCAGGCATCATTCTCTGTTCTTAATTATCTCCTTTGATCTTCACTATACTCCTTTTATATATGTGCTAATATTAGCTTTTCAGATAAGGAGACGCAAAAAAGGTTATACTACTTATCTAAGGTCTCAAGGCTGGTAGTGGTGAAGCTGGGAGCTAGTCACAGGCAGAGCACCCACATCTGCAGCTAGCACTTATACAGCCAATTGGGAGACATCACCTCTCAGTGGAGAAGGGGAGGGCCTACTGGATTTTCTTTTCTATTTTTTTGAGACAGGTTCTTGTTGTTCCAGCCTAGCCTTGAACTTGCTATGTAGCATAGGCTGGCTTTGAACTTACTCTGTACTTCAGTCACCAGAATGCTAGCATTACAGACATGTGCCATCATGCCCAGCTGGACTTTCTAAATTCAGTAAAAATTTGGTTACTCTGGAAACATTTCTAGTGACTTGATTCCGATCATGTATTTACTATTTAATATTTCCTTGAAAGTTAAATGTTTATCCTCATATATTCATTTTAATTTGTTAAAAATGCTTTGTAAAAATATTTTTAAGAGTATCATGTTTTTAAAGTCAGATAACATACCTGAAAATTACTGTCTTTAAAAAAAATCCCTCCTCCCCACAATCTTCTGCACAAATATATGAGTGAAATAAAATCACATGTAGACAAACATACAGACACATATCACATATGTAGATATACATAAAGAGAACATACCTATTGGGGTAAACATACCCATAACCTCTACAATATCTATAACATGCATGTATGCACACAGGCCTAAATATGAGAGAGAGACAGAGACAGAGAGAGGGAGAGAGAGAGGAGGGGGCAGAGAAGAAAGATGAGAAACCCTAGAATTCATCCCTAAGTCCACCTATTAGTATTTTACCCAATTGCCCAACTATGTACATACTTACTTTCACAAAATAAAGATTCCATTATAAAATGGTTGGAGTCTTGGGCCTGAGGCAAGAAATCCGGAACACACCCTCCTGAGGGATCCCTCTCCAGCTTTGGTCAGTGGGAAGAAAACAACCACTCAGGACTTTGGGACCATTTCCCATTCATATCCTCTTCTAAAAGCCCCATTTCCCCCATTCTATCCCATCAAATCCTGAGGAAATCACAATCTATAGAAAAAGCCTTATGGCTTGAATCTGAGTTTTACCAGCTGGGGCTCTTTAGTTGAGTCATGATTTCCAAAAAAAAGTTGCCTGAAGCTGAACTACACACATATCTTGAAATGAGCATCTCAGGATTGTGGGTTAAGACTTGTAGACTCAGACTTAATTTTAAAATATGTCCTTTTGACTAAGTGTGGGATTTACTAAGGTTAAAAGGGCTGAACAGCGCAACTTCTTATTCCTTTTCAAATGTTAGTACTAATTTGCTCCAAATTATTTAATGTTAGCAGTGGAGAAGAACAGGGCTTTGGGCCCTGGTGCTGAGGCCTGGACCCTAAAAGGATGAGTGAGCTTGCTGGAAATCTGTCACTGGTGTCAGCTTACTGGGCTGCGGTTACCTGGTGGAGCTAGGGGCTTGCTATCTGAGGAAAAATATCCTTAAAGGGACATGTTGGGACAATGAGAGCCAAGCATCCTTTGTGGCTCTCCCAATTTAGGCCTTGAAACAGGTGAGAAAGCAGGAGCCTGGAGGCACACCAGTAATTCCAGAGGCTCTTTGATGCTGTTGTTCTCCCTGGGATAAAGGTAAGAGGGAAAACAGGTTCAACTCTACTTTCATGGGACTAAAACATGAGAAAGGGTCTGTTTCAGGGATGAGAAAATCTTTGTGGGGCAACAAGGATTTTGAGTCCCAGCCAGAGAGAGAAGGGGACTACAGTCAGATTTAGGAAATTCAGCAATTCCTCCCTCAGTCCCAGAAATGCCAGTGAGGGAATTTCAAATGTCTGGGACTCACTAGAAATCCTGCCTGTCAAGGCCAGGAATTTAGGCTGCTCTCAGGTCCCAGGGAAATTTTCTTGGCAAAGTCATCATAGATTAGTTGAGCCCCCAGAGGGCAAAACCAAATCATAAGGTTCACATGCAAGGAATTGGGAGCTGGGTAAAGGGCAGAAAAGCAGGAGGAAAGGAACTGGGAAGTAGTGCTCAAGCTAAATGTGCCTCACAGGTTGAAAGAGACCAGCCCTCTGCTCTTGCTGCTCTTGCTGGATCCCTTCAGAGTGGCTGCCTCCAGGGAAGAGCCGTGGGCTCCTGTAGCCTCCACACTTCTCTGCATCTTCACTATTCTCCCTCCTTGACCACAGGTTCCAGGTAGCAGGATGCTATCCTGCTTGCAGGAACAGTGTGTACAGGAGCACAGAAAGACGCCCATCTCCAGCTCTATTGTGGGGAGGAGGCTCGGCCCCTCAGATCTCAGATCTAAGCTGAGGCATCTAGTGGCAGGGCTCCTCTCCCCTGCCTCAATTCCCTACTACTCCTCCCACCCAGGCCTGTTTCGGCATTTCACCCCAGGCAGCTCTACCTCTGTCCCCAAGGCCTAATCAAGATGTCACCACAAGCTCCTACTGTCCAAGTCACCGTCTTTCCTTAGCAACACCAAACACCCTTTCCCATCCTCCGCAAGTGTGAGGAACGCCCCCTCCCCCGCTACACACAGCCCCCCATCCTCTCCCTCTCCTCGGGCTTGGGAGTTGTTACTGAATTGGCTCCCTAGCCCCAGCACCCCCTTCCCCCTCCGCTAGCCGCCTTCTGCCTGAACTTACATTATCCTTCCCTTGCCGGTGAGACCCTGGGTTGCGAACGCGGCCGCCGCCTTGGAAACGGCGAGGGAGTGCGGGTGGTGTGTGCATGTCTGCGTCTCGGTGGCAGGCAGGGGTGAGCCCAGCCACTCACCTTCCAGGAAGCGTGGATTCCTGGAAGTGAGGGGAACCGCCGTCATTTCGCAGGCAGCGGCAGCGGCACGGTGAGCAGGGGCCCACGGCTGCAGCCAGCAAGAACAGCTCAGCCAGGGTGTATGTGTGTTGAAAGAGAGTGTGTCTGATGAGAGAGGGAGAGAGAGAGAGAGAGAGGGAGACAGAGGAGATGAGAGCGCTTGGCGCTTGGATGTGCTTGGGGAGGGGGCTGGAGAAATGTATATGGGGGGGGGGTGCCAGGCTACAGCGTGTCTTCCACGACAGTGAAGGGAGTGCACAGGGAGGGGGAGGTAGATGCCCTTCTGCCCAGCAGACAAAGAAGAACTGCACAACAAATGCTTGAGAGAAGCAAATGTGTGTGTGTGTGTGTGTGTGAGAGAGAGAGAGAGAGAGAGAGAGAGAGAGAGAGAGAGAGAGAAGAGAAGAGAAGAGAAGAGAAGAGAAGAGAAGAGAAGAGAAGAGAAGAGAAGAGAAGAGAAGAGAAGAGGAGAGAAGGGCCTGCGGGAGAAAGAGAAAGGGGGCAGGGGCCTGGGGAAGGTCCCACCCTCTGCCAGAGGGGAAGCCAAAGCCTCAGAGGTCATGGGGCCCAGGACCTGGGGCAGCTTCAAGGCTTTCTGACAAGCACCAGCGGTCCCTCTTCCCTCCTCCAGGAGGGAAGTGCTTTCTAGTCTGGGGACTGACTGCCCCCCTTTCCCAGCAGCCAGACGGCTCGGCATAGTCTGGTCTCAGGGTAGTGGTGCTCTGTGGCCCAGAGCCCTTTCAGATTCCAGGCAAAAAGGCTGATGCAGTCTCCCTAAATCCCCTCCCTCCTGTGCCCCTGGGGCTCGGCCGGCCGGGCCGCCAGCCGCCCTGGATGAATCCGCCTTCTATCAGGACGAGGCCTCTGCTCCCTTGCCTTCCAGAGGAGCTGCCTGCTGCTGAGCTGACCTACTTTGGAAGAGACTACATTTTCTGATTCCAGGAATTTGGGGGTAGGAGGGGCCATGAAACTTTCGGCTGCCTACCCCTGGATCCTTTTCTCCTAAGGTTTCCTTACATATTTCACAGCCCCATAAAGCTTGGGACAAGTGTTGTTCAGTCAGTTAACTGCACAAGTCAGGCTTGAGTGGGCATAGAAAGCTATGTTGTAGATTACTGGACTCTTTCTTCCCTTCTTCCCCATGGGAATGATCTGTACCTTTAGAAAAGAACAGGAGAAGGGAAAAATGGACTTTTTGCTTCAGGTTCTGAGACACAGTAAAATCTCTTTGAAGAACAGGAGAGGGGCTGGTGCAAGAGGCCCCCAGGCATAGAGGAAGAGCCTGGTGACAAACTGAGAAGGGCTAAGTGTGCTGTAGTAGAAGGGTGGTACTCGTAGCCAGTCCCTGCCCAAATCAGCCCAGCAGAGGTGTGTCTGTCACTGACGGGCTCTCAGATGTCCCTCAAGTGGTTGTTGGAGCCATGCCCAGTCCTGCAGGGGCACTCTTCATAGCTCATGGTGCCTTGCCTTGCCTTCTCTTTTCTAGTCTAAAAGTTTCTACTGGGGGCTGGAGATTTAGCTCAGCGGCATAAGCGCCTGCCTTGCAAGCAGGCAGTCGTGAGTTTGATCCCCGGTACCGATAAAAAGGAAAAAGACAAAAAAAAAAAAAAAAAAAAAAAAAGTTGCTGCTGACATCTAGAATTAAAAGCACAGATGAGGAATTTGAGGGTCTCCACCTTTACTCAAAAGCCATTTGTGCAGAAGCCACTTTTTATCTAATAAAAGCCAACCTGCTTAAACCTGGTTAAGTGTGGTTGCACAGCACACTGAAGCAAATACCCTCACAAGTTTGCCACTAGTGCCCAGCATTCTCCAAGGACACCTCCAGAAAGAGCTCCACAGGATATTTACTTGTGGCACCTTCATAGTTTCTTATTTGTGGACTCGTTTCTACTCATCTGTTCTGCAGCACTAAGGCAGTTCTAAGTGTACTTGGTACTCACTAGTAAATAGATTTAACTGAGCCTATTTTTATTTTATTTTATTTTATTTTGAGAATTATTTTAAAATACTGTACAGTGTTGAGTCTTTTTTGGGGGGCACCACTGGGAATTGAATACAGGGCCTTTGTATTGAGCTATATCCTCAGTTTTTTTTTCTTTTCTTTTTTTAATTTTCAATTTTTGAGAGCGTCTTGCTAAATCATTGTATTGTCTAGGCTGGGCACAAATTTGTAATCTTCCTGGCTCAGCCTCCCCTAGTGCTGGGATTATAAGTTTGTGCCACTACACTTGGTTGAGTTGTCAATTTTGAGTCTGTTTGGACTTTTTTTGGGTGGGGAGTTATTGGACATAGAGACTCATTATGTGTCCAGGCTGGCTTCGAATTCATAGCAATCCTCCTGCCTCAGCCTCCCAAATGCTGGGATTACATGCATGCGCTGTCATACCCAGCTTTTTTTTTTTTTTTTTTTTTTTTTGTCTTTTTCGTTTTTATTGGTACCAGGGACCGAACTCACGACTGCCTGCTTGCAAGGCAGGCACTTATGCTGCTGAGCTAAATCTCCAGCCCCTTACCCAGCTTTGAGTCATCATTTTGGTGTGTTTGGAGTGTACCAGGAATAGAACTCATGACCTCAAACTTGCTAGGCAGGTGCTAGGCTACTGAGCTATATCCCTGGCCTGAGTTATCTTTTTTTTTTTGGTACCCGGGATTGAATTCACGACTGCGCATTTGCAAGGCAGGCACTTATGCCCCTAAGCTAAATCCCCAGCCCCAGTTAGCATTTTTAAATAGAGTTTTTTTTTTTTTTTTTTTTTGATACCAGGGATCAAACTCATGACCTCATGCGTACCAGGCAGGTGCTTATGGTGCTGAGCTAAATCCCCAGCCCTAAATGGAATTTTTCATAAAATTTTGGATTTCTGATTCTCTTGAAAAGTTGTAAGTTACACATTCCTACATGGCAATGACTAGTGGACGCTGAATAGCTGCTGTTCCTTGAGGTGGGATGTGTGTTCTTCAGTTCACAATAGTGGCTGCTGTTCTCTTGCTAATTGTCCTAATCTGCTTTGTTCGTACACATGACCTTGTGGCCCCTACATGTCTTTGAGGTTTGCAGTACTGTTCCATTTTCTACTTGGGACAGAATCCCATGTCTACTGGTAACCTCAGGGCATGGTGGAAGGTGCCACATCTTCTTCCCATCTATTTGCTTCAAATCATCTAATAGCAGCCCCTGGTATTCTTCTCCTATCCCCTTCCCTCTCCCCTACCTCAAAAGAAGTCTGGAGAAAACAATTACTTGTAACTGTAAAATGATTACTCCCAAGTATAACCAAGCATGAATGTCAGCTCGGAGACCAACAGTCAGTCACATACGTTTGGCCTAAAGGGTCTGTGCCCTGACCTACAGGGCATATAGCCCCAGCTCTTCCAACAGAACACACAGAAGGCATACCAGACAAGTAGGAAAGGCCATTGCATTCTTCTATGTCCATTTTAAAGAGATCTGTTGAAAGAGAAAATAGCAGCTATTAGAAGTCAGACCTGGGAAGGGATGAGGCTTTCCTTGTGGAGTAAGAAAGAAAGCTAGGGGCTGGGGATTTGGCTCAGCGGCATAAGCGCCTGCCTTGCAAGCAGGCAGTCGTGAGTTCAATCCCTGGTACCGATAAAAACAAAAAAGACAAAAAAAAAAAAAAAAAAGAAAGAAAGCTAAAGGATCACCTGTGCCTGTTTGTTTATTTGGGTTTTTTTTGGAGAGGTGTGTTACTACACCTGGCAACATGTTATTTTTTGGTGGTGGTAGAATGTGTACTGGGAATTGAACTCAGGGCCTCCTGCTTGCCAGGTGGGTGTTGTAAAACCAAGCTATATCCCCATCCCCGAGCATGGCTTTATTTTATCTGAAAGAAGGAAAACTTCTTACTTTATCTTGATGAGAAAGGCAACATACCATGACCTACAAAATTCCTGCTAGGTATTATATTTCACTGCAGTAATCCCAGCACTCAAGAGGCTGAGGCAGGAGGATCACCTCAAATTCTGGGGCCAGCCTGGGCTACATAATGAGTTCAAAGCCAGCCTGAACCACACAGTGAGACCCTGTCTCAAAAAACCAACCAAACAAACAACCAAACAAACAAAGATTTCCTCTAACCTACAACTTCTACAGACCTCCCAGTCTCTGAAACACGGTTAGTCCAGAGTGGCCTGGATTTTGAGAGTGTACCTTTTCCCTGCAGTGGAGTGGATATTGTAGGAGGTACCTACATCTCAGCCCTCAGGAGGCAAACGATGGCCACCCACAGAAGGTGCTGGACCTTAGTTAAGGAAGAGTAGGAAGAAGCTGCTGAATTTAGTCATCAAGTGCTCTTTTTTAGGGTATGTAGCAGGAGGAGGTGGTGACAAGGAAAGTGGAAGACAAAGGCAAAAGTTCACCTTCAGGTTCATGATAAGTTGTCCAATGAGGACGTAATTAGTGTATATGTGTGCACATGTGTATGTGCTGGGCATTGAACCCAGGGTCTCACAAGTACTAAGGACAGGTTCTACCAGTGAGCTAAAACAAATGCCTTAAAAAATTGTAAGTGGGGTGCTGGGGATTTAGCTCAGTGGCATAGGTGCCTGCCTTGCAAATCTGCGGTCCTGAGTTTGATCCCTGGTACCAAAAAAAAAGTTATAAGTGGCTTTCCAAACCCTCTAGTCAGTTAACTTTGCCATCTTACTTTTTTTGAGGGGGATATATATATATATTTTGGAGTTTTAAAAATGCAGGTTGGTCTATTTGAGGGAAGGCAAGCCAGTAATTGGTAGTAAAGTATTAAACAATCAAAACTAAGAATAGGGGCTGGGGATTTAGCTCAGCGGCATAAGCGCCTTCCTTGCAAGCAGGCAGTCGTGAGTTGATCCCTGGTACCGATAAAAACAAAAAAGACCAAAAAAAAAAAAAAAAACAACTAAGAATAAGGTTGGGGGTGTGGCTTATTGTAGAGCACTTGCCCAACTTGCAGGAAGAGGCCATAAACAGAACAAAACAGAAAATAATTACAAGTAGCAATTTGTTGTAATGAATTGTCTCCTTCAGAAACTGTGAACACCAAGCTTGGTGGCACACACTTGTAATCCCAACACGCAGGAGGCTGAAGAAGGAGGGCTGCTCTGAGTTTAAACACACAGGAGGCTGAAGAAGGAGGGCTGCTCTGAGTTTAAACACACAGGAGGCTGAAGAAGGAGGGCTGCTCTGAGTTTAAGTCCAGTCTGGGCTACACAGTAGTTCAAGGCCAGCATGAACTACATAGGGAGATCCTGTCTCAAAAATAAACAAATAAATAAAATGAAAAAGTTAAAAAAATTTTTTTTAAATCTCAGAGCTCAGGTTGGGGCTGGGGATTTAGCTCAGCGGCATAAGCACCTGCCTTGCAAGGTGGCGGTCGTGAGTTCAATCCCTGGTACCGGAAAAAAGGAAAAAAAAAATCTCAGAGCTCAGGTTATGACTGGAACAAGAACAAAAACTCAAGTCTCTTGCCTCTCTGCTTTTTCACTACCCTTTATTGCTTCCTTTAAAAAGCGAGTCTATTGAAGGCCTCCAAGGATGCCTTGCTTTCTGCTAGTTCTAACATAAATTAAGGCATTTTTTTTCCCTTTGTTGTGATCCCTGTGGGAGTAGGGTTTGTTACTTAAAAAGGAAGAACAAGTTGAGCTGGTTCTACAAGGAGAAATATGCTAATGCAGCTTTGTGTTTTGTGTGTGTGTGTGTGTACATGGTCCCATACACATGTGTGCTTGTGTGAACCAGAGGTGAAATAGCGCTAGACAGGCAGAGCAGTTAGAGCATAACATTCAGACAGCACTGGTTCAAGAAATGCATCTCATTCTTGGACTCCACCCAAATGGCCCCAAACAATTTTCAAAAAGTTCTAAAAGTATTTTCTCTATTGGATTTTCTTTATAGCAGCACACTGAGCTCTCTCTTGCTTTTTTTCCCCCAGTACTGAGATTGAATCTAGGGCCTTATGCATGCTTAACATGCTAGGCATGTTTAGCACTAAGCTAAATCCCCAGCCATTCTTAAGTTTATTTTATTATGGATATGGAATCGAACTCAGGACCTTGTGCTTGCCAGATGGGTGCTGCACAGCTGCGCCATAACTCCAGCTCCTCCCCAGTCATTCTTTTTTTTTGATACTGGGATCAAACTCATGACCTCAAATTCGCTAAGCAGGCACTTATGCTGCTGAACTAAATACCCAGCCCCCTCTCCAGTCATTCTTAATTGCTCTTAATAAGTGCTTAATAGGTGCAAAATCAGTACCTAACTGCCTTCAACTTGTCTTCATGCCAAGTTGGTAATCCTGGAAGTGAGCGGGGTTGAGGCCTGCTGTCCCCAGTCCTGGTTTTCTGAAAACTAGGAGCCAATCAGCAGAGGTACTCCATTCTCTGCTCAGATGTTCCCAGAGAACACCCTTCCCAATCTTCCCAGTCCCCACCTCCTCTTCTCTGTGACCCAGCAGCAGATCTTAGTATCTCCTTGGAGGAACTGGGTCAAATTAGGCAGTGGCAACTAGAGACACATCACAGGAAGGGAAGGTAAAAGGAGAGAGAAGTTAGTTACACATCACAGGTTTGGCTCAAAGATCTTGGAAGGAAAGTGGCTTTACA